TACCCTTTGTGATCTATCATAGAGGTATGAAGAGATCCAACGTAGAAAATTAGGTGGAAGACCAAGAAGATCAAGTTTATAGATGAGAAACGAGTGGCAACCTTTATCAAATGCTTTACTGAAATCAGTATATATAACATCAATAGTTTTGCTCTCACTAAATGCTTTTGAGATATAGGATGTTAATTCAAGTAAATTTGTAGAAGTTGATTTGCCCTTGCAAAATCCATGTTGACTGTATGAAATGCTTGAAGTGATAGAATGCGTCAACCGATTTGTTATAATTGCTTCAAATAATTTAGGAATTGCAGAAAGCTTAGCTATGCCCCGGTAGTTCTCCACTGAAGACCTGCTACCGCTTTTATGTAAGGGGGTTATGAACGATTCCTTCCATACAGTTGGAAAAACGCCCTCTTTAAGAGACAAATTAAATAAGGCTGTTAACGGCTCATAGAGATAATCAGCACAATTTCTAAGAAAACAAGTGGGGATCTGGTCAGGACCATAACTAAAAGACTGCTTTAAGGACTTCAGGTAAACTAAAACATCATCGGGAGATATTATAGGGTTATGTATTGAGTTAATTGGACTTAGTTTAAAAGGATAGTCAAAGTATGCTTGGGAGTTAGTGGAATAATTGGATTTAAAAAACTGAGCGAACATGTTAGAAATTGTTTGATTATCATCAGAGACGGTATTTTGATACTTCATGGCGGAAGGAAACCCACGTAATATAACACCATAACATTATAACACAATATAGCATAAGAAAGCTTAACATAATAGCTTAACATAACATCACATAGCATAACATAACATAACATAACATCATAAAATAACATGAGATAACGTAAAATATCATCATAGCATAACATAACATAACATAATATAACATAACATCATAACATAACATAATATAACATAACGTCATAACATAACATAACACTACACAAAACAATAAAACACAACACTACACAACACAATACAATACAACACAATACAACAAAACACAACATAACATGTTATGCTTCAATTTTATCTTTTTCTTTGCCTCTTTTTTTGTCCATACCTTTATCTCTATCTTCGTCTCTGCCGTTTTTTAACTTTTAATTTTTATTTTTATCACTTCCTTGACTTCAATTCAGATCTTTATCTGTATTCTTTTCTAAATATTCACCCACACCTCAGTTAAAATACTGCACTTCCGGTCAGTTTAACTCACTTCAGGTCGAAACCGGAAGTTGGTAATACCACGAAATGATTGAGCATTCCCGATTAGATACGCCATATTTTTCCGTTATTCAGTAAAAAACATTTCCCACAATTTAAGAGGCGGTGGACTGGTGGTTTTGGACACTTTGTATATTTCACCAATGTGTATTTGTAAGATATTTAAATATCTTAAGCTATAAAATAAACATATTTTGGCACATTTTGGTACATTTTCTTTGGTAAGCAGAAAAAGAGAAGTAAGTGACAACCGTTACCTTATTGCACATCATACCAATTCACTTTGAAAGGCCCCTTTAATTTACGCTCGTTTCAGCACTTAAACGCGATTACTCATCGGTTATACATATTTATAAAATTCATTACAGCATTTCTGCCTTCATTCACACTATGTATAATTATGTGTTTGTTGTATTAAATATTATTTTTCGCTTCATGGCAGTCTCGTCGCTAAATTTTTTGCCATTTAATTCAATCATCGATATATGCAGACATGAGTACAATATTGGATATATTTCATTTTCAAATCCTTTATGTTTAAGCGCTGCAACAGCATAAATTTAAATCAACTCCATGTCAGGGCAACTGTCAGCATTACCAACACTTTGTACGAAAAGAAGCGTCAAGGCCAATAATGAAAGAAACAGAAACAACAACAAAGTAGCAACAATCAAGACTTTTCCGCTGTCAATGCATTTTTACTGCTGAGTAAATAGCTGCTTTACGTTGGTACCCTGCAGGGAAAGCTACAAGTTGTGAACTAGAATTCTAACAGTTTGCATTTCAGCCCAACTAGTTCACGTTCTATCCTTTTTCAATGTTAACGACTGGTATTTTTAACAACACGAGAAGTACCACTTGATGAGATAGCCTGCCAATTCATCACCCATGAAAATCATAAGCATGCGTTGCACATTGTTTCGACTATGTATATGGAAGCAGGTGGAAAAAAATCATGGTGACAGTTGATAAAAAAAAAAAAACAGTTGGGCTCAGGGAGGGAAAAGATAAAGTCATAAAAGCAAAATTTCAGATCATTTACTCACTACCCTTCTCCTCGAGCGGTATCGGTATCGGCGCTATACCGACTAATTACTTTAGTTGCCTTCGGTGCTGAACCCATTAAAGCAAGTGTTTATTTTTAATATAATTAGTTCTTTAAGTGTCGTGGAATGTTCGAGTGAAGGAAATTATCATTTATTTGTTATTTTCCTATTTTCCTTATCAAAAAATTTACTTTGAAATGTATATAGATGCTAGATGCTAAAGATTATTAGTAAAAAAAGTGTGAATACCGGTTCGTCAGGTCTTGAAATTGGACGCATTTTTTAGAGAACTTAATGTAGTTTTCGAATATATAATTGGATCTTTTCTCGCGACTTTTGAAATATATATTATTTTCGATGTACAGCTTCCTTTTGCGTGATTTCGTGAAAAGAATTTTTCAAAAAATAGAAAAGTCTTAGCAAACATTGGGAAAAAGTGTATGTAATATTTAAGTAAAACCTTTTTTTT